TGTGATCCCACGTTCTATCTTAATCATCTTTTTTTGCCCTTCAAAAATTATACCCTCATCTCCTTCATATATTCTACCATTTGAATATAATATAACAACAATTTCATTCATCCTGCATTTAAAATAAACCAAGCTTATTTATAAATTAATTTATAATATAAAAAAATATATTTTTAAATTTATTTACAATTACAAATATTTAAATATTTAATTTTTTACATTATATGTTATCTGCCTTATTTATTTCCAAACATAACAACAAAAAATAAATTACAACATTAATATTTAAAAGCCATTAAAAATATAAATTAAATATTATTATTCAAATTAAAATTTCTACATAACTATTAAAAATAAATTATATATTTATAATACTTAAAATCTAACCTGATTGCTCAATAGTTATTATTTCTTGTCCAGCTTCACACTGTTATATTTGCCCAGCTGCTCACTGTTATTCCTGCCCAGCTCCACACTTTCTTCTCGCTACTTGCATTTTATTTTGAGCTTCATCCTACTATATATATACACATTTTAACTTGGACAAAGACGAAATTTTTTACCCGAGGTAGCATTAAAATCGTCTCTGCTGTGGACGACATTAAAATCGTCCAATATATAACGACACAAGCTGTGTCGGCTCAACCAGGAACGACACTATCATAGGTCGCCACGTTAGACGTGTGTCGTCCCTCTTTTGGACGATTTCACCTGTGTCGTCTAATAAGTGGACGATTTTTATTTGAGTATCGCCCTTACGCTGGACGACTTCAGTGCCACCTGCCACTCCAACTCCAGACATGGAATATCTTTGAATGCAGCCTTATTTTGACATTTTCTTTTCAAATTAACCGTACAAGGGCAAAAAAGCCCTATTCATTTATAATAGATGGAGTCGAGAGAGAGACACTGCATCTACTTTATTGCATTATAAAAATATAAAGAAGAGATGTTAAAGTGAGAATTGTTTGTATTATATAAACGTATAAGTAAGATGGTAAAGTCATGGGAGCTAGTTTGCAGTGTTATTGTCTTTATAGGTAAAACCATCGTAACATTTGTATAATATTCAAGCTCCAACCCGAAGAGAAAAGAAAAAAAGAAGGTCGTAGTAAATGCTCAAACACAGATGAAGACAAAAACTATGCAAAACTAAAGGATAGTAATCTGTTTGTAGTCTGGATTCTGTTTTTTTCTTTAGTCTTTTTTTTTGTTTTTCTTTTTCTATGCTTCACTCTTGTTTTTTTTTCCTTTCTATTCCCTGTTCCTTTTCTCTTCGGCTCAAATCTATTAGAGCAAAATGCTGCCTCTCTTAAATGTCTTTCTTTCCTTCCGAAAGTTATTCCATCCTCCGGATTTTAGCTGTGTATTTATATAAATCATTTAGGGTTTATACAAAACGTTAAAATTTCTGAATTTTTTTTTAAAACTTTTATTATTTTATTTTTTTAAAAAAAATTTAAAGACAGCCTATAGAAAGACAAAAATTAGTATTCACAATTACTTTAATTTTAATATATATATATATATATATTAAATAATTTTAAATTAATATCAAACTATATGTATATAATTTATAATTTTAAAACTTTTAATTTAGTAGTTAATTTTAGAATTAAATTATTTAACAAAAAATTTATAAATAACATAAATCTCATACTTATAAAACAAACATTTCTTGGATCACATGCTTAAGTACCGTGATATATAACTACAGTAGCAAGGTAGTATTTATATATTAGCATTTAACAATCGTAAAATAAAATATTATAAAATTACTAAGACATGTCTATCAGAAATAGAATTATGTGAGAAAATTTAATACCAATCAATCAACTAAAAAATTAAAATATCTTTTGTAAAAAATCTAATAAGTTGTTACGAAAAATATAAAAATAAACTACTAAATTTATTTACAATGATAAAAATAATTTAAAATCAAGACATGATATATGTTATAATATGATACTTCAAAAGTATTAAATAATTTTAACTTAATTTATATTATGCACTTAAATAATATATTTAGTAAGTCCCTCATTAAATTTTTTAGTTCATTAAAAAAGGTTAAGTTAGAAAAATAAGACTATTTAATTTATGTAAATTAAAAATTAGTTATAATTATCCTAAAGCCTCATTATAAAATATTTTTAGAAAAATTTAAAGACTATTAAGGAAAATTTGAATATAATTATTATTCTAAAATTATTAATGTTTGACATTTTCTCATCAAAGATAAAAATTACATAATAAAATTAAATACTAATAGATAAAGTGACAAAATATATTTTTCTAAATTATAAATTTAAAATATCACAATTACGTTATAAAGATTGAATGTAAAAATTGAGAATTATGTATGATTATTTAAATCAAATAAAAAACACTAATAAAGATTAAACAAATTATGATTTATGTCTAGATAAAAATATAACTTACATTAATTTTTTTAACTTTTATAATATTGCACATGATAAAAAAAGTTTTATATAATAAATTTTTATTAAAAATTACAAAATTAAATGTAATTTAATACATTATAGTATTAAATACTACAATTTTGTATGAAAACTTATTATATATAACTTTTTATTCTATGCAATATTATACATGTTAGAAAAAATAAATTTATATACAGTATTACGTTAAAAATATGTAAATATAAAATAGTACATGCATTATATACAGAGAGAGCAAAAGACATCCTAAAATGTTAAAAATAAATTTGTTATAATTAACTAATATAAGGACTATTGGAGAGTATTTAAAAACAATCTAAATTCTAAGAAGAAGAAAAAAAGATAAAAATCATGGACCAAGAAATTTCTAGTAGATAAAAGATATTCTCTACATGTAATTCAAGATAAGTAATTATTAAAAATTTCAATTGTGATTTGTGAGTATTACAAATAATAGACTAAGTCTTATAAATTTTATAAATATAAAAATGCATATTTATAAAAAATTTAAAAGTTTATGTAATGTAATATTTTTTTTATATAAATGTAAATATAGGTATTTACAAAAAAAATTAGAAATTTATATAAAGTAATAAGAGAAAAGTTAAATAATAGCTTTTATTTTTAAACTTTAAAATGAAATCAACAAAAAGATAAAAAAAAGTAAAATTATAAGTGTAAAAAAAAAAGTAATTTAAACATTCTCAATCAATTTTAATCACTCTTAATGCTTCACTTTTTAAATAATATATTTTTATTTATAATATAAAAATTGATAATACATATATACTAAATATAGTAATAATTTATTTTTTATTTTCAAGTTTTATTATTGATTTAGATCCATATTATCTAAGTAAAGTTGATTGCTTATAGCATTAATGTAACATTGAATATTGTATTATATTTAATAAATATGGTATTTAATTAACTTAAAATATAATTAAATACTATATTCATTATATTAATATAATTATTTAATTATTATATACATAATAAATGTGCAATTTTTTTTAAAAAATATTCTAAATAAAAATATATAATTTGGAATTTTTAATTTAAAATTCAATTTTTTAAATTTCAAATAATGAACAATAAAATATTCAGCTAACGCTCTCAATTTTAAAAATTAATATAAATTTATTTGACAAAATAAATTTTCATTTATTTTTAATATCTTAATGTGATAAAACTTTTCTTTCTTTGTTCTTACACATTTATCGTAATCCAAATAGTTTATAGAAATATTTTCATATTCTTCCTTCTTAAAATTATATTATTTTATGAATTATATTTTATGATTATAAAGTTTAAATACATAATAGTGTACAGATTTAATTGGCTTACATAAAATTAAATGCATATTAATATATTTTAAAATTATTTAAAACATTTTATATATTAATTTAATCTTACACTTTTTTATATCTATCATACTTAATACGAGTTATGAACTTATGATCTCTAATTTATACAATCAGATGTAGTCACTTTTGTATTCTCTATAATATCAGTTTTTGACTTTCATTTCTAATTTTCCTACATTTCAGATAACAAAATAAATAATAAAGGTAAGCTAGTTTTGCTAAGATTAAAATGAAAATAGGTTAAGTTGGGATAGGATTTGAATAAATAAGCTTAACCTATTTAATAATTTTAAAGTTTAAATATAACTTATTTTATATTAAGACCTAGTTTAACTTTTTTAAAAGTATACTTTAATCTATTAATATTTTTAATAACTTACTTCGTATTAATACTTTTAATAAATTATTAAATTTTTTTATAACCATGTTATTAATTAAATTCTATTATAATTGATCATTCACAAGTGTAAGTGCAATAAGAATAGATAAAATTATTTTATTGTACTTGATTAGAGAAGACATTTTGTTAAACATAAAATAAAAAAAAAACTTATATATAATATAAACAAATATGCAAGAAAAAGATGATAAATGAGACAGACCGTAGTTAAGATAGTATAAATACAAATCAATTATATGTATATAAAATAAATCAAATAAAAGTAATACAAAAGATTTTAACAAATATAACTTTCTCTTAAAATGTATGAAGTAAAAATACTCTTCAACTCAAAAGAATTTTTTTTTTAATTTAAAATTTAATTTATTTTAAAATTTAATTTATTTAAGATAATATTATATTATAATTTTTATATAAAACTATTTAATATATTATTATAAATTTTATAAATTTTAAATAAATCGTTAATAAACTTTTTCTTAAACCTAAATTTGATCTATTTAATTAATTAAATCTTTTAAAAAATTTAATTTAACCTATTACTTAAGTCGACTAAACCAAACTAGTCTTTAGAAAGATTAGGTTATAAGCCTCCATAAACCCCGGAAGATAATTTTACCTATGTTCTTTTCAAAATGGGACAATTGAATCGTAGGGCAAGGGATTTAAACAGGTGAATTACAGATCCGATTCCACAAAGGTAATGGTGTTCCAAGCTTGACAAATACAGTACCACATTTTAGAAATCTTGAATGGCAAAATATACCGGCCTAAACTATCATTTTAAATACTAGTTGGCACTTTCTTTTTCTGAGTAAATTAACAAATTGCGTCTCGAACTTTTTTCACACTAAATACGATGACATAAGATTCCAACTAATTCTCATATGAGAAGGCATTGTTGCCACAAAGCGAAGAACATCAGGTTGCTCGCTAAGTGAAGTGTGCAGTTCTTCTGAACTATTTTTCAAAACATGCAGAAATTTAGCAATGTTGGGAAGTACAAGTTCTCTGCAGTGAAGATGCAATAGAGGAACCTTTGATAAAACGCTTCCCTTTTGAACATCTAGGCCTTCTGGCCTCCGCATCTTGTATGGTTTTCCAGTTGTTGGCTCAATATCCACTCGTGCCATTTGTTTCCATCGGCTGTGCACAAACCAGCCATACTTATAGTCACCCACTATTGGGGTGCCAAGTGCTTCAGCACAATGGACACGCAACTGTAAAAGGGGAGAACGGGTAAGTTACTTATTTAAAGTCGCAATATATTAAAGGCAGCAAGGAATTATTTAAAAATAAAAAAGACCGCATAATTTCAATGTTTATTTAAACTGACCACTTGAGAGTTGAGAATATTTTTGACAAAGTAAAGAATTAATCATGCAGTTAGAAGATAACTCGGAATAATATAAGCAACACAGAAAAGCCTGAACAATGCCTCTGCACCATGTAAATTATTAGCACTTTAGAATTTTAAACTCCCTTAGGTTTTCCCCCGTAGAATCAAGAACATGCAATTAACCGGGGCATCTCAATAACCAAAATGCCATATGGTACAAATTGATATGAATTTATAACAATGATAATATATATTCCCATTTTACATGCAACTTCAAATAGAAGACACAACAATCATGGCCTAAAGAACCAAATTGAACAAATCATCTGATGTAAGGTGAAAATTTCATCCTTTTAATCAGAAAGATGGAACTGGAACCAGTTCATCTTTAATGAAAAACAAGGCAAGAAAAGGATAAATGAGACCCTCAAGATATAGTTAAAATTTATAGGTTTAGACCGAAGAAGGAAAAAATTGAAAGATGGCAAAAGGTAATAAAATAAATATTATAACTTACAGAATGTAAAACACTACAGTGCCATAATACTCTTATTTATACTAATGATTGGGTGCAGGCCCCCACTAATTATAAGACCAACAGTCTACTAGCCTAATTAAATAAGGAAACAAAACAGGAAATATATATATATTAGAGCAGTCAATAGCGGCCGCAATCGCGGCGGAGCGGCCCTTTCCCGCGACGGCGACCCTGTTGCGTTGCGTTTCACAGTAGCGGCCGTTGCGCGAGGCAAAAAACGCCGAAAATAGCGGCTGGAGCGGCCGCTATCCCATCCTCCCACGTTTCCATTTTTGTCCCTCGTCTTTTACCGTTGGGGCCCTTTAAGGGGGGCAATCTTGGAATTTCGACCCCCCTTATATTTCTGAATCATCTTCTTCTTCAACCCTAGCCTTCGTATGCTCTCCTCTCTTCTCTATTCTCTCTTCTTTGTTCTCTGTTTTTCAATTATTTGAGTGTTCTCTGTGCTCTATTTTTCTAGCGAGGCTTCTACTTTGATTTTCCGGTCATCTTCTTTGCTTTCGGCGAGCTTCTAAGGTGACCCAAATTATTCTGAGTCATTTTCTTCATATCTTGTCATCTTCTTCAAGGTCAGCACAACTTTTGACATCACTGAAATACTTTCCGATCATCTTCTCCAACTCTGGCGAACTTCCGACGAACTTTACGGTGACTGAAAATTTTTGTTTTCCTATATTTTTCTCTGTTTTTTTTTTTCTTCTCTGTTTTGATTCTTCTATTATTTCCTGTTCGAAATTTCAAAGCTTAAAAGAAGAAGTAATGGCTACTCCTCCCAATCAGTCACAAGGAACCGGCTCTATTTCGATTTCATCCTGTGCATTAGTGAAGCCTTCAGGAAATAATTTGGATATAGGTTGGCAATGGAATAGTTTGAAAGACATAAATAATAAAAAGTCTGTTACTTGTGACTTTTGTGTAAAAACAACTACAAGCGGTATTACCCGAGCAAAGAGGCACCAGATGGGAGTGAAGGGAGATGTTGATAAGTGTCCAAGGATTTCCAAAGAAATAAAAGAAACACTAATAGCAGCTCATGAGAAGAAGAGAATAGAAAAAAAAGTATATTTACTTCAGCATGATGAAGATGATAATGAGGAAGAAGAGGTGCAAGAAATTCAAAATATTCGTAGTGGAAAACGACCTGCAACCTCAGGTGTTGCATCAGCTTATGTTAGTGGTTGTAATGCCACCAAAAAAGGAAAAAATGTCAAGGGCCCATTGGATTTATTGTTGTTAAAGAGTCCAAAAACAAGCATCAAATTAGCAAAAACAAAAAGACAAACAAGTATAAATAATGCTTGTGTCAAAGGGGCAAGAGCAAGAACAATTCAATACATAGAGCAATTCCTTTGTAGGAATAGAATTGCTTTCAACGTTTTGTGCTCAAAAAGTTTCAAATTAATGGTTAAAACTATTGGAAACTATGGTCCACATCTAAAGCCTCCTAATTATCATGAGTGTAGAGTTCCTCTTCTTAAAAAGGAGTTAGAGTACAAAAGAAATGTTGAAAAGTTGTGAAGAAGAAAGAAAAAAATGTGGATATTCAATTATGTCAGATGTGTGGATAGATTAAAAAAATAGAACATTGATCAATTTCTTAGTAAATTGTCCAATTGGTTCTATGTTTGTAAAGAGCATTGATGCATCTGCTTATATGAAAATCGGAGAAAAGTTGTTTGAGCTCTTAGATAGCTTTGTTGAAGAGATTGGAGAGAAAAATGTTGTGCAAGTGGTTACTGATAATGAAAGTAATTATGTATTAGCCGATAAGAATTATTTTTAACTCTATTAATATAAGTTTCTAATTATTTTATTAGTTTCTAATTCTAGACTAGTTGTTGCAAGCTAAAAGACCACATTTGTTTTGGACTCCATGTGCTGGACACTGTATTGACTTGATATTAGAAGACATTGAAAAAATACCTAGAGTTAAGAGAATAATTCAAAGGAGAGTTACTCTTGTGGGTTTTATTTATAATCATTCATTGACTTTGAACATTATGAGGAGGTTCACAAATAAAGCTGAATTGGTTAGATATGGAGTGACAATATTTGCTACAACATTCCTCACATTACAAAGGTTGCATAATAAAAAAAACAACCTTAGAAAAATGTTCACTTCTGATGAGTGGTTAAAGTCTAAAACAGCCAAGAAGCTAAAGGAAAAAGGGCAACAGACACTTTGTTTATGCCTTCTTTTTTGGAATGATGTGGTTTTCAGTCTTACGGCTATAGGGCCACTTGTGCAAGTTTTGAGACTTGTTGATAATGAAATAAAGCCTCCAATGGGTTATATATATGAAGCAATTGATAGAGCTAAAGAAAACATTCAAAATGCATTCAAAGGAAATATAGACAAATATAAGGAGATTTTTGCTATAATTGATAGAAGATAGGACTGTCAACTTCATCATCCATTAAATGTTGCAGGTTATTATCTGAATCCTCAATTTTTTTATAGCAATAAACAAATTAAGAATGATCCTAAAGTTGTGGAGGGCTTGTATAAATGTATTGAGAGACTATGTACAAGTGAAGATGATGTAGACAATGCTACAATTCAATTGTCAACATATAGAAGAGCTGAAGGTCTCTTTGGTTTAAGTGGAGCAAAAAGACAAAGAGTTATAATAGCTCCTGGTAAGAGATTTGTTTAATTTTTTTATTATAATATAATTATGTAGATATAACACAAAAGGTTAATGAGTTGATGCATAACTTGCAGCTGAATGGTAGAAGAATTATAGAGTATGTACACCATATTTACAAAACATTGCTATTAGAGTGTTGAGTTTGACTTGTAGTTCATCTGGATGTGAACGAAATTAGAGTACTTTTGAGCACTAAGTAAATGTCAAGTAACTTCAATTTAAAGTTCTTATATTAAAAGTGCAAATCTAATATATATTTTTTTTATGATAAAATAGATTCATTCTAAAAAGAGAAGCAGACTTGAGCATCAAAAGTTACAAGATTTGGTTTTTATTAAATATAACCAAGCTCTTAATGAACATTTTGAGTGTTCTGATGTGGTGAATCCTATTATCTTAAAGGATGTTGATGCTAGTAATGATTAGTTGCTAGAAAGAATAGCTGGAGATGATGAAGATGCTAAAGATGAATTAGTGTTTGATGATGATAACTTGACTTGGAGAGCTGTTGCTAATGCAATTGGGGCTAGTGAGCCTGTAACTTACACTAGGCGACAAGCTAGATCAAAATTTAAGGCAACTACAATTGCTTCTTCATCTAAATCTAAGGGAAAAGAGAAAGAAATTGTGCAAGAAGAAGAAGAATGTGATGAGGAAGACTCCGAAGAAGAGGAGGAGGAGGAAATTCTTTACAAAAGTAGTGATGAAAGTGAAAATAAAGAAAACATGACAAATCTTAGAGATGAAGATGATGATAATTATTAAAATATTTGTATTTGAATTGAACATTTAGTATTTTTAAACATCTAAGTATTAGTGACTTAAATTTAATTAGTTAAATTTATTTTTATATTTTGTTGTTACTTGTTATTGACATCACTTGAGATAGAAAAATAATTAGGGTAAAAACTGTATATACTTTCTTGTGATTCAGAGGTTCTTATAAGAGAAATCTGTACAAAACTAGATCCCTTGATTATAGGGATTGACTAGGTAATTACAGCAGAATCCTAATTACATTATTTACATAATCAATTAGATTTCTATATAAAAGGAAAGAAGGTAAATATGGAAATACAAATATTCTCAACACTCCCCCTCAAGCTGGTGCATATATATCATATGCATCAAGCTTGTTACAAATGTATGTTATCCTTGGACCTCGAAGTGCCTTGGTAAGCATGTCAGCTAATTGATCATTAGAGTTCACAAACGACGTAACAATCTCACCAGAAAGAACCTTTTGACGAATGAAATGGCAGTCAATCTCTATATGCTTGGTCCGTTCATGAAAGACAGGGTTAGAGGCAATATGTAAGGCTGTCTGGTTATCACAAATAAGTCTCATAGGTCCTACCTCACAAAACTTTAACTCAGCAATAAGCTGTTTTAGCCATACAAGTTCACATGAGGTATTGGCCATTGCTCGATATTCAGCTTCAGCACTTGATCTAGCAACAACATTCTGCTTTTTACTCTTCCAAGCAATTAGGTTGCCTCCAATCAATACACAATATCCTGAAGTTGATCGTCTATCACTTGGGCAGCCAGCCCAATCCGCATCTGTGTATGCAACAATATCAGTATGGTCTCTGTTTTCATAGACTAATCCTTTTCCAGGGGAACCTTTGATGTATCTCAGGATTCGAATCACTGCATCCCAATGACTATCACGAGGGGAGTTAAGAAATTGGCTTATAACACTGACCGGAAAAGATATGTCTGGCCTAGTCATAGTAAGATAATTCAATTTTCCAACTAGTCTTCGGTATTGATTTGGATCTGAATACAACTCTCCCTGATCCGGCATAAGTTTGACATTTGGATCCATAGGGGTATCAACTGGCTTACAATCCAACATTCCTGTTTCTTTCAAAATATCAAGAGCATATTTTCTTTGAGATATGGCGACACCAGTTTTTGATTGAGCTACTTCAATCCCAAGGAAATATCGCAATCGACCCAAGTCCTTAGTTTGAAAATGTTGAAACAAATGCTGCTTGAGTCGGATGATACCATCGTGATCATTGCCTGTGATAATAATATCATCTACATAGACAACAAGATAAATGCACTGGTTAGTAGAAGAATGTTTATAAAACACAGAATGGTCTGCCTCACTACGAGTCATCCCAAACTGTTGGAGAACTGTACTAAATCTCCCAAACCATGCTCGAGGAATTTGTTTAAGGCCATATAGAGCCTTACGTAACTTGCAAACAAATCCTTGGGACTCCCCCTGAGCAACAAAACCGGGAGGTTGCTCCATATAAATCTCTTCTGCTAGATCACCATGAAGAAATGCATTTTTGATATCGAGTTGGTAGAGGGGCCAGCAACGTGTGGCAGCTATGGATAAGAAGAGGCGAACTGAAGTCATTTTTGCAACAGGTGAGAAGGTGTCGCCATAATCAAGGCCAAAAGTTTGTGTATAGCCTTTAGCGACTAATCGGGCTTTAAGCCGATCAATTTGTCCATCTGGACCCATCTTAATGGCAAACACCCAACGACAACCGACAGTAGATTTCCCAAGAGGAGATGGAACAAGTGTCCAAGTCTGGTTAGATTCTAAGGCCTGCATCTCATCAATCATAGCCTGTCGCCACCCTGGATGGGAAAGTGCTTCCTGGACTGTTTTAGGAATAGTAACAGAGGAAATAGCAGACACGAAGGCACAATGGGAAGAGGATAAACGATGATAACTCAAGAAATTATAAATGGGATGAGGATTTCGAGTTGAACGTGTACCTTTGCGAAGGGCTACTGGCAAATCAGCAGGTGTGTCAGATGGATCCGGAGTAGGTAGAGCAACTGGCGTAGGAGATGGGCTGCCTGAATCTTCCAAAACTACGTCTTCTAGCGAAACAGGACGAGGTCTACGCTGGTATGTAGCCAGGGGACGAGGAATAGTAGGTGAAGAGGGATTAGGAGGTTCTAGCACATCAGAGATTGAGGGATTAGTGACAAGGGGAATATAGTAAGGAATGGGAAGAACTTGAGAAACTGAGTTTGAAGAGACTGATGTGGTGAAATATGGTGTGTCTTCAAAGAAGGTGACATCGGCTGACATATAGAAGCGATGACTGGATGGGGAATAACACCTGTATCCTTTCTGCACCCGAGAGTAACCCAAAAAGAGACATTTAACAGCACGAGCAGATAATTTGTCAAGTCCTGGAGTGAGATCATGGACAAAACAAGTGGAACCAAAAACACGTGGGGAACCTTAAACAGAGAGTCATTAGGGAATAAAAGTGAATGAGGTACTTTGTTATTTAAAGCAGAGGATGGCATCCTATTTATTAAAAAGGTTGCTGTAAGGACAGCATCACCCCAAAATTTTAAAGGTACATTAGCATGTAACAAAAGAGTTCGAGCAGTTTCAATAATATGACGATGTTTTCTTTCTACAATGCCATTTTGTTGTGGGGTGTGTGGACAAGTGGATTGATGCAACATGCCATGAGAAGTCATAAAATGATTAAAAGGTGCAGAAAAATATTCTTTGGCATTGTCACTGCGCAAGATTCGAATAGAACGACCAAACTGTGTTTGAATTTCATTGCAAAAATTCTGAAAAATTGTAAATAATTCTGAACGTTCTTTCATTAAGAAAATCCAAATACATCTTGAGTAGTCATCAATAAAAATAACAAAGTACCTATGTCCTAAGATAGAATTAACACGACTCGGACCCCACACATCTGAATGGACAAGATCAAATGGAGATTTTGCTTGACCATGGACAGCACTTGGAAAGGAGGCTCGAATGTGTTTACCTAATTGGCATGACTCACACTCCATAGACTGTAAATGAGAGAGGTGAGGAACCATGTGCTTCAATTTATTTAGACCTGGATGACCTAGGCGACAATGCAAGAGAAGGGGGGAATCTGCAACAGTGCAGACAACTGAGGTAGTGGGCTGGAAATAATAAAGACCATGCGATTCAAATCCTACTCCAATCGTCTGTCCCGTACTCCGGTCCTGTAGAGAGAAAGATTCAGCAGTAAATGTTATGGAACAGTTATGAGTGCGAGTAAGTTGACTTACTGAGACTAAATTAAAGGGGCAACCAGGTACAAGAAGAACAGAATTCAAGGATAAATTAGGAAGAGGGGTAGTTCGTCCAATGCCAATGGCATTAGCTTTTGAGCCATCAGCAAGGGTGATGTGGTGTGCTGTTTTAGGTTGTGACAGTTTTGAGAAAAGAGAAGGATTACCAGCTATGTGGTCAGAAGCACCAGAATCTAATATCCAGGGTCCAACAGACGATGAATGAGAGAAGCAAATTGTAGAGTTACCAGATTGAGTAGTGGCAGAGGAAGATTGTTGTGATGCTATCTTCAGCTGGAGGTACTCCTTGTACTCCATATCTGACAGAATATTTTGGTTGTCTCCTTCATGGTCAATTTGCTTTTTTACAGCGGAAGGCTGAGAATACGTCACATTGGCTGATTTCTCGGGAAACCCAATCAAAGAATAACACTTATCTTGAGTGTGGCCCATACGTTTACAATAGGAGCACTGTGGACGATTTCCAAAACTGCGACCTCCTCTTCCACCACCTCGACCACGACTTCGACCTCCACGGCTGATCACATTAGAGAAGAATGCAGAAGACTCCAAACCTGGTTGGGAACCATTTCCTATCATAGTTTCCGGAGAGGGAACACGCAGCAGACGATCAATGAGATTCTCTGCTGTAGGTACATTGGAATTTGTCAAAATTTGGTTCCGAACAGATTCAAAATCTTTGTGAAGGCCATGAAGGATGAAGACCATGCACATGTTATCAATCTTGTCTAAGACTTTTTGAAGGTCATCACCTGTCAAGACCAATTTTACTTCATCAATGGTGGACTGTGCTCTGTTCAAATATGATGGGAGATCGTTATCTGTCATTTTAAGTGCAGCTAAATTATGTACAACATCATAGAGACGCTGAACATCATTTGAATAGACACTATGAGCTTTCTTCCATATATCGTAACATGTCTTATAAGTGCGAAAGTGGACTAACAACTTCGGATCAATGGACTGCCATAGAAGTGAAACTAACTGATAATCAACCTTCTTCCACTGATCTCGTTCAGTGGAATTAATGTCACTTGCCGTCTTAGTCAAATGGTCAGAGAGACCTTGACCCAAAAACCATATTTCCACCGCAGCTTGCCAATCCATATAATTTTTCCCATTAAGTTTCTCTGAAGTTATGGATGGATTTCCAGAGAAGACAAAGGATACTGGATTTTTGTTTAAGGGTTCAGTGCTGTCAGGGGTAGAGGACTTAGTTGGGTCAGAATCCATGACTAAGCTTGGTGAGAGTCGGAGGAGACTAAACACAGCTCACCAACAGGGAAAAGGACACCCAGAACAGACAGAGGGTGTGTCGACGAGCTGAACAGGACCAGCGGCGAGACGAATGGAGTCGCGTAGGGCGGCGCGTGGCCTTCACGCGCCGACGGTCTGGTTTTCTGGTAAGCGTGCGTGGCGGCGCGTGGAACACCGGGAGATGACGGCGATCGGTGGGACAGCCGATCGGAAGCTTCTCGAGCTAGTGCCGAAGTCTCAGGCCAAACGGTGGCCGGACGACGGGACAACTAGGGTCGGCAGTACTGTGCAGTACTGTAGATGATTTTATCAGGCCCACAGAAAGTGAGCTCTGATACCAACTTGAGATAGAAAAATAATTAGGGTAAAAACTGTATATACTTTCTTGTGATTCAGAGGTTCTTATAAGAGAAATCTGTACAAAACTAGATCCCTTGATTATAGGGATTGACTAGGTAATTACAGCAGAATCCTAATTACATTATTTACATAATCAATTAGATTTCTATATAAAAGGAAAGAAGGTAAATATGGAAATACAAATATTCTCAACAACATCTAAGCATATATATATGTGTGTAATTTAATTTATGAGTATATTTATAATACCTAAAATAGCGGTCATCCCGCTATAACGTTTTTGAGTCGCCGCTATCCGGGATTGACTACTATGATCTATGATATATATATATATATATGTGTGTGTGTGTGTGTGTGTGTGTGTGTGTGTGAGCATCAGGAAACAACTCCTAATATGCTTCCTCAATTAGATAACTAATTGACTAGAGAACATATTATTTTTCTTTTACGCTGAATGAAAGTTAGAAGCAGCTTAGCCTCCATGTAAAGCCAGGGAAGATCACCAACCTCAACAAGAATTTGTGGTAGAATTACATTTCACCTACCAGCTGCCTTGGAATCAAACCAAAGAACAGGCTTTCCCAAGAGGGGAAGATCAATCCAGTGAATCACCCCTAGTTGGCGATTCAACAACATATCCTAGACATGATCTGAGTAAAAGATGTCCTAAATATATTATAACAGATGGATATTGTGTTTACTCTCTACTCTTTACTGGCACATTTGAGTTGAAAAGAAAATACAAAACTGCTACTAAAATACCTGATGCTTCCGGTAAGTAAGTGGATGCAGCTCAACCCATGAGCATCCATTTATCTTTGGACCAAGCACCCGATACTCAGTTACAGCCTCTTGGCGAGGTTCTACACTTGAATGGTGAGCTAGAATTACCCTCTCAGTCTTCCCATCATTCAGAAGCACCTGAAATAAAAAGACATACAGTCAATATGCTGGAAGATAGCATCATAGCAATCACATTAACCGTGTTATCACTGAATGTATACAATTAAAGAAGAAACTAAAATGAGAAACTGCATAAACCTTAGAAAGAGGAGCATGAATTATGCCTTCCTTAACCGTGGGAGTTCCAATGACTAATGCCCAATACCGCTGATATGTAGCTTCACATGCATCATTCCAAGCCTAAAATAGATAAATGAATGTTAAAAATCAAATGAAAATGTTAACCTGTTGTTGACAGAATGTTTTCAAAGACTGTAAATCATAATAACTAACTAAACACTATGTACAGGATAGCAGTTCTTTACTTCATGTACATGAGAGGCACCTTACAAGAAGATTTTGCATTATTAATGTTACTGAACAGCCATTGGAGGTGAGATATACTATCTTTGGTTCTCCCCAGTATAAGGATGCCACTGCTCTCTCTGTCAAGACGGTGAACCTGAGAAGGAACAAAATGATTAAGTTCTCTTGTATTTTCAATATGCATAAACCATCTCTACAAAACAGCTTCACGATATCTATATGAACAAAAATTCATTTGTTACATGATGATTCATTTACTGTCAAATATAGAGAAAATTGTTTCACAGTAATGATATAAAAAAACGAGGAATTGTTTACCAGTTTAGGACCCTCATCATAATCATAAGACAGTGCTGCAGCTGCCAATGCATCCATGCTATTATGAACTGGCAGATTCCCCTAACAAGGTCATCAGCAAGAAATTAAAATCCCAGAACAAACTCAAAGTAAGTGAATTCCTGTAAATGTGAAAGAATAGAGATTCTAACCTTAACCGGCAATTTTGGAGGTTTATTTAGCACAATAATAGCTGAGTCCTGAAAGCAATACGTTCAAATACAATATGCAATAAATAAAATATATTTCCATGCAATCAAACAATAAGAATACTAACAGAAAACTGAAAAATAAAATAAATTTGACATTAGATGAAAGGCATGCCTTGTAAATCACAAGCCTTTGCAGATACTTAATTTCGTCAGCATTTGGATATAGTGTTCCACTTGGAATAGCATCATATCTTTTGGAAATCCTACTCTCAGCAATTGATACAGGAACATGAACTCTGGCACCTCGTTTCATCACTTCATTAGGCCTAATCTGCAGTTAAGCTGTGTAGTTGTAGTATTATTAAACCTAAAACAAATCCTTAGAAATTGACTAAAATTTATTTTTTTAAAACAGAGACAAGTAGAAAATTACTCAAAGCAAAGTTTCTTGTAGAAAATGGTGTATTAACAGGATACATGTAAACATGAATACCTTCCGCATAGGTTTTATTAGCTCTTCCTTCTGAGTGGAAGTGTCATCATCAACAAGGTCCTCCATTTGTACCTAGAATAGGAAATTATCTACAAAACCTTAAGTACACACTTTTAAATTATTATATCCATATCTGACCATTGAACATGATATAAACATTGTCTAAAACTGCAACGCAGATCCTACTATCCTGTTCCAACTTGCAAAGTAATTAGAACTTTATGAGCATTTACCTTGTAGGCAACAACAGAATATTCAAAAACATCATGTATACAATAACATGCACTTCCTTACTAAACCAGTTCTTCTAGGTGCCTCCAGGACCACCAAATTGAAGTCTATGACCTTCTTGTAAGATGATGTAAGGGAATAACAGCAATTGCAATTTGGAAACAAACCAAGCCCTTATGTTATTAAAGGTTAAAATTAGATTAAACTTGAATATGAAAAGCAATTTGTGAAACACAAATTAAGGCAATTTTAGTTAGATAAGAAGGCCAAGTTCAAGAACAATATTTTGATGAAAACAAACTTTGTTTGTAATATTTATATTTATTCTTCCTTTTTGTTTGGCTTTCATTGGTGGTGTAAGTACAGAGATCCCTGATGGGGCTGAGTAGGTGGCCTTGTAAAGAATTGAACCTATAGTATTGTTATCACACACTAACCCTTTACGACTTGGCTTTCAATCCTTATTCTTTCCATGTGTTCTAACTTATATGTTCCTTGAGGAAATAAGATATTAATCTCTTATCAATTCTACTAGAAACAGTCCCAATAAAATAGTACAACCAATTTAAGGTTTTGTCAACAAGAAGATTAGGCAACACACTAAAGAAATAAAAAAAATGCAAATGAAAATACAATAAAATAGTAGATACTTACAAGACCCTCCCTGAAATGGGACTCAATGACAGAACCCCATGCGACCTTGAAATAATACTTAATCCAATTGACAGCAGTAATGTGATCATGCTGTCCAGGATAACTAACTAAGTTCTTGCCAGGCAAGGGGTGACCAGGAAAAGGAGGCAATGATAGTTGCTGTCTGGGTTTTGGACCTTCTTTGGGAGCATCCAAGCGGGAAATATTGTTAGATACTCTGATTACTGGTTTAACAGAAACGGGCCTTGGGGGACGAATTCTAGAGAAGTGCCTCACTACAAACAAGAACCGCGAGCAGCTACTATTATTGCATACATGATTATACATCTGTAGCCAACAAAGAAAATACTCACTCATTAGCAGAATAAAATGGGTTTTTATTTTTTTTATTCAAGATAGAAAATGTTTCAACAATAATCATATGTACAATCAGAAGAAAGGGGAAAGGAATTCATTGCTAGATTTGTAAACATGGGCCAGTCAAAAGCCCATGACCAGAAAAGTACACAAAGACAAAAGCCCACATGGCCTAATGGGTTATGGCCAGCCCATTGGCCTGCTCAACTAAAAACTAGCTCACTTTTAAATGGACTAGCTCTAGACCAGCCCACTAAGAAAGTTACACTCCAGATTATGTAAGGAACAATTAATTCATAGAAAGCAGGTATCCCCCAGTACACAATTGCATCTGGTGTAAGTAAACAAACAATATTGATGCAATGGTTAAATGTTATGCATATAAACTAATAGATAAAAATTCACTTCATATATTAGACGACAGTACACAACAAACTTGACAGAAAGATAGGCACAACACTTGGGGCATATAATTCTGCACATCAGAGCAGATACTCTTACAAGTTAATTAATGCTCTTTGCACACTATCATTGAAAATGAGTGTCATCATGATTATGATATGGGAGCAACAAGCAGAAGTAGTTAAGATCCCTGATGTGATAACATAAAAGACTTGTCTCAATCTCAAGACACAGTATCTATAGAAAGTCAAAACCACAATGGGAACGATGGAGCAACCTATAGACACGGTACGTATCCATTTAACATCTAATCATCCCTGTATCTCTTACAGAACATACTCAACAATCAAGTAGCTAATGTATGTTAGCGTGTTCAACGCAAATTCTACATCATGGCACAAAACTATAATTCCTTAATTCTTAGTTTCAAAGATAATTGTACATTTAGGAGCCACACTCCATAGATAGAAAATAAAGAGATATTCAAAATTAAACAACACTATGAGGTTATATCAATAGCGCGCACACACACATACACACAAAAAAGGAAAAAAAAAACTTGCATTTCGACGAATATATTATGAGCGCATATAATAAAACCCGAACCCCGAGTAAACCATTCATCCCCAAAGTACACCCACCCACGCCATTCCAATGGAACGTTGCAACATAAAACACGGGTTGAATAATTTGGACCTTTGAATCTCACAGTTCACTAAAACTAGGGAAGTGTTGCTTGTCATTCTCATTTCTCCATTGTCACTTGCATTGGAAAAAATAAAGGAAAATATCTATACTATTAATATAGTTACAAGTAAGAATAAATGTGTTTTTAAAAAATCACTAACAATAATCAATTGAGAGTGTCAATTTATAAGTCCTGAAAATAGAACCAGTTGAATACCTCGTCTGCAGAAACCAAACGCGACCTATCTCACACCATGAGAGGGAGAGTCTGGAACTGGAAGTGTGCAGTGGCCGCGAAAGACGAGGGAAGAGTAAACCGGTAAGCATTTGCTTTTTTTTTTTTTTTCTTTTTTATAACAGCGTTCGGCTTTGTTTAACCTAAAATAAAAATAAAGAGACCTCAGCGTAAGATGAAATAACACTCACTAAATTAGTTTTCAAATTTATGAGTAATGAACAATTTATTCTTTAAAATTATAAAAATATTATTTTAGATTGAAGTTATCGGACGCTAATTATGTAATATTTAAAATCATAAGATGACACTTATTTAGTTTTTAAAATTATAATAATAAAATTTGACTATGCAATTCTTAGATTTTTTATTTGTCTCTTCCACCTGTTTTTTTTTCCTTCCTCCCTTTCATCTTTATTTTCTGTTAGTGCACAGAAATAGAGTTTTTGTGTTATCCAAATCAAATAGAAACGAGCCAAATGTATAGGCTTTAGCTCTACAACTGATTGAACTAGAAAATAGGCAACTATCCCACGTACTAACAGCAAAGTTCTAAACGTGGGTAACAGAAAAACAACGCATTTAAAAAATAATGAAACTGACAAACTTTATTTACTTTTAGTCTAAAAGAATACTAGCTCAGTCAACAATCCCTCTCTTAAACTTTATGCTCCTTGCAACAGTTTATCATAGGTTCTTTGAGCATACCCAAAGCACTTCGCAGGGGCTGAAAACTTTCAACTTTAAGTGACTTTGTCATTATGTCTGCTAATTGCTCTCATGTATTGCAGTAATTTAGCTCAATAACACCATTGTTGCATAGATCTCTTAAGAAATGAAATCTCACATTAATATGTTTAATTCTTCGATGCAAGACTGGGTTTTTAGATAATTTAATGGTAGAAGCATTATCACAAAACATGACAGTAGCTCCTTTCTGGAAGCAATTTAGATGCTCTAAAATTCTTCTCAGCCAAACATATAACCACAAGTTATTTCTTTGATGCCCAAGAAATCACACCACCTCTCAACATGAAAGCATAACCCGATGTGCTCTTTCTATCGTCAAGATCCCCTGCATAATCACTATCAGTATAAGCAGGTAATTCTTCATTTCCCCAGCTTTGTAGAAAATTTCCAGATTTTATGTTCCTTGTAAATATCTCAAAATACGCTTTGCTGCAAAAAAAAATGACTGTCTTTAGGATGCTCCATAAAGCGACTTATCAAGCTAACTGAATGTGCAATGTCTGGTCTTGTAACTGTAAGATACATAAGACTTCCTACCAGTTGTTTGAATAAAGTGCCATCAACTTCTGTCCCTTTGTCTATTTTTTGCAAGTCAATTCCTGGAGTAATAGGATTTTTCACCACATTACAGTCAAGCATATTAAATCTATCCAACATAGTTCCATTACAGCCTTGCAAAACTTCAATGCCCAGAAAATATCTCATCCTACCTAAATCAGTCATGGCAAACTCATTCATCATCATAGTTTTGAACTCTTGAAACATCAATTCTTGATTACCAATGTAGATCAGATCATCTACATAAACACACATAATTAAGATTTCATCTCCCTCTTTCTTTACAAATAAAGTGTCTTCATGTGGGCATTTTAGAAACTTATTAGCTGCAAGATGAGACTCTAGCTTGCTATACCAGGCTCGAGGAGCCTGTTTAAGGCCATACAGGGCCTTTCTAAGTTTGCATACCTGATGTTTACGTCCTTGAAAAACATAATATGGTGGTTGTTCTAGGTAGACATCTTCATTGATTTCTCCATGTAGGAAGGCTGATTTAATATCAAGTTGATAAATGCTCCATCTCTTTGTGGCTGCCAATGCAACAATAGTTCTAATGGTTTCAAGATGAGCTACTAGTGCAAAAATCTCTCCACATGATCGATCCCTTCCTCTTGAGTGTAACCTTATGCTACTAGCCTAGCCTTGAATTTGTCAATCTCCCTGGTTTCCTTCAGTTTAGTTTTGAAAATCCACTTTACACCTACAATTTTACAATTTGGTGGTGGATCAACCAACTCCCATGTATCATTTCTTTGGATAGCTTGAATTTTAGTGTCCATTGCATCCCTCCAATGCTGATTTTTTTATGCTTGATTGTATGTTATTGGATCTGCACTTGCCAACATTGCAAAATTTATAGCATCTTCATTTGTTAGTTCATCACCAGTGACATAATCTCTCATCCACGTTGGTGGTTTTGTAGCCCTCCCTTCAGTTGGAATTTCTACAGCTCTTGGTGAAAGGTCAGACAAATTTGAGGTTGAGTTTGGAACTGTTGTATTGGTAGTTACTTTTGCATCATTAAAGCTTGTTTGAATTACTTCCTCAGTTGCTTGACAAGATTCTTCCATGGGGTTCAGATCATGCGTTCTAATGATTTTTGTTTCACTCCAATCCCAAGCAGCGTCCTCTTGAAATTTAACATCTCTACTTATATGGATTTTCTTATTGATAGGATCATAAAGTTTGTAGGCCTTACATTCCTCACTCACACCCAACAATACACATTTAGTACTCTTGTCATCAAGCTTGCTCCTTTTCTGGTCAGGTATATAAACAAATCCAATACAGCCAAAAATTCTGAAATAAGAAACAGATGGCTTCATTCCGCTCCATGCCTCCTCAGGTGTGATGCTTTTTACTGCAAGGGTTAGACTTCTATTCAAAATATGAACCACCCAATTTACGGCTTCTGGCCAAAAGGATATTGGAACTCCTCTCTCGGATAAACACTTCGAACCATACTTATAATAGTTTAATTTTTCTCTCAACTACACCATTTTGTTGAGGCGTATATGAGGCAATGAGTTGTCTTTGAATGCCTTGTTCATTACAAAATTCAACAAACTCCTTGGAGGTGTATTCTCCCCCTCTATTAGTATACAAAATTTGAATAGAGACACCAGCTTGTTTTTCAACTATTGCTTTAAATTTCTTAAATACATCAAGTGCTTCACTTTTTTGAACAAGGAAACTCAAATCATTAATGAAAGTAAGTGAGTATGTACCTTTTATTTCCATTAGAGGTGGGATTGATAGGGCCCCAGATGTCGGAATGAATTAGCTGCACTAACCGAGATGCACACCAATTACTTTGTTGTGGAAAAGGATCTCTTTGATGCTTTCCTTTAAGACAATATTCACAAAGTTGAGTTGGGGACTTAAAGACGGGTAGCCCTTTCACCATATCATGTTCTAATAAAGTTTTAAACCCACTATAGCTCAAGTGACCATAGTGAAAGTGCCAAACTTGAGCTGGTAACAGTGAACTAACTTCAAAGCAATTGTTAGAGACTCCAGATTTTGCAGAAATAGCAAACATACGATTAATAGTCATAGAGGTTTCAAAAATAAGGTCCTCTCCTTGAAACACTTCATATTTGTTTTGCTTCATTTCACCACTTAATCATTTCTCCAAAAGTTGACCCACACTGAATAAATTATTTTTCAACTCAGGTACATAAAAGACATCATTAACCAAATGCATAGTTTCATTAATTAGAAGTTTAACAGTACCCTTCCCAGCTACCTTTAGTGCATAATTATTTCCCAATTTCACTTCATCAGAAAAGGAAGAATCAATAGAGGAAAACCAGTCCTTTCTACCTGTCATATGATTGCTGCAACCTGAATCAATGAACCACATCCCTTGTACATTTGACTTTTCATCTGTTGAAAGTTGTGCCATGAGTAACACTGCTTCTTCACCACCTTCAACATAATTTGCTCTGCTGTCTTGTGGCTTCTTTGGGCATTCACTTTGAAAATGTCCAAACTCATGACAGTAATAGCACTGTATTTTTACCCTGTCTATAGGTTGTCTACCTCCTCTGCCTCTACCTTTTCCTCGTGCAGCTCTGCCTCGAAAAACACTTCTTCCTCGACCACGACCAATGCTTGCCTCTTCTTGTGCAACCTTCAATGCTTGTTCTTCATGTGAATTGTGGTCATTCATTCGCTGCTCATGCACTGAAAGACTGCTTTGGAGCTCATCTACAGTCATGGAATCCAAATCATGAGACTCTTCAATGGAACACACTACACTAATTGATTCTCCATTCTTCATTTGTAAAATCTCCCATTCACATCTTAGAGCCTGTAGCTGAGCTCGTTTCACTCTAGCAGTACCTTGGTATTTTTGTTTCAATGAGTCCCAAATCTCCTTCGACGTCCCCATTTTTAAATTTGTTTCAAGCACAGTTCGGTCGATAGCTTGAAACAAATAGTTTTTCACCTCTAAATCTTTTAATTTC